CCATTAGCCTTCTTGGCTACAAGAGCACACTGTTGACTCATATCCAGTTTCTCGTCCACTGTAATCCCCAAGTCCTTTTCTGAAGAACTGCTACTTAGCCATTCGATTCCCAGCCTGTAACAATGCTTGGGATTCTTCCATCCCTAGTGCAGGACTCTACACTTGTCCTTGTTGAACCTCATCAGATTTCTTTTGTCCCAATCCTCCAAAATGTCTAGGTCACTCTGGACCCTATCCCTGCCCTCCAGCATCTCTACCTCTCCCCCTAGCTTAGTGTCATCTGCAAACTTGCTGAGGGTGCAATCCATCCCCTCATCCAGGTCATTAATAAAGATATTGAACAAAACCAGTCCTAGAACCGATCCTTGAGGCACTCTGCTAGAAACCAACCACCAGCCTGACATTGAGCCGTTGATCGCTACCTGCTGGGCCCGACCTTCTAGCCAGCTTTCTATCCACCTTACAGTCCATTTATCCAATCCATATTTCTTTAACTTGCTGGCAAGAGTATTGTGGGAGACCGTATCAAAAGCTTTGCTAAAGTCAAGTATATCACACCCACTGACTTTCCCATATCCATAGAGCCAGTTACTTCCTCATAGAAGCTAATAAGACTGGTCGGGCATGACTTGCCCTTCATGAATCCATGCGGACTATTCTTGATCGCTTTCTCCTCTTCCAAGTGTCTCAAAATGGATTCCTAGTGCCTCAAAACGGATTTGTAGGATAGTCTGATTGGAAAGATTGTATACTTGGGTAGATGACCAGTGCATAATATCTTTGATAATGACTATCAATATTAGCTACTTAAAACTAAAAGGGAAAAAATATACTTTGTAATAAACCAACTTTCTTTTTGAAAATTTACATTTTACTTTCAGGCATTCTCAAGTATAACCAACCAAATTTGTGTTGATTTAACTTTTAAAATTGTAAACTTTTGTATATCCTTTTAGATTATTCCAAAACCAGCAATACCTACATAGGATCTATGAAGGAAGTCATTGAGCAGAAAAAAGTGGCTGGAAGACTCAAAAGGAAAGCGCCTATAACAAACAAATATCCAAAAGCTAAAGAACTTCAGATTGTAGACACCAGTATTACCAGTGACCTGGCGTGTCAGTCATCAGACAGTGGCCCTGATCCTGCTTCAACCATTAATATTGGGGTGCTTAATAGACATGAAAAAATTGAAACAAAAAATGAGCTGGGATCATCCTTACTGTCACTAAATCAGAAAGAAAGTGATATTTGTGTGAGTAATCAGACCAGTGAGGTGCACATCAATAATCAGACCAGCTATCAGCAATCTGAGCCCAGTTTTATAAGAGAATGCACTTCACCTGTAATTATAAAATCAAATTCTGTTTTGCCACTACCAAATACTAATATGCAAGAAATTAATAGCATTTCCACATTTGATACATCTGACGAAAGTGAGAGAGATGTCATAATAGAAAATGAACGTGTACTAGAAAGTAAACATGCTTCAAATAATTCAGAGGTTCTTAAGGAGCTAAAGTTCTTAAATCTGCGGGACACTGGTGGAAGTGGAAATACTCTTACTGAATATCCTTTTACAGACTTCACAAGAGAAGGAATACCTGACAGTGATGTCAGTGTTAACTTCAAAAGGCTTTCAAGAAAAGGCAGGAGAAGCACTGTCTATATTTCTGATGTTGAGAGTTTCTGTTCTAAAGCACTTGGAAACAATCTCTCTGATACCTTTTCTAATGAGCAAGAACCCCAAGTAGAAAATGACTCTCAAATGTTTAGTGATCTGCATTACTCTATAGAACAGTCCTTTCTGAGGATGAGGGAGGATGGTGAAAAAAAGGTAAGACGCAGTATGAGGCTGCATAAAAATGCAGAAAATGAGGGACTTGCGTGGATTAAAATACCTGACAAGAACTCTTTGTCAGATTCTGCTTGCAAATCAAGGAGGACAGTGTATGCATCCATCTTTAAAGAATCTGAGAACATTAATCAAAGACCAGAAAATTGGATCCAATGCTCAGCTTTGGGGAAAGAAAACAAGGAGTCTGGTCCTGTTGCAGGCAGTCCTTGCAAAACGCGGAGGAGGAGGAGCATGTGTGCCTCTACTCGAGAAAATATAACTCAAACACAGAAAAGGAGAAGGGCAAGCCTTGTGTACAGTGACAAAGACTACCAAAAGGAATCTGAAGTGGAAGTATCCTTTGAGAACCATCCCGATGCCTAGGCAAATTGGGCCATCCATTTTTAAAAAGAAAAAGGTCAGTATTTTAATGGTAGGTTTTCTTTGGCTTTAATTCAGCTATCTGTGTTACACTACTACTAAATGATACTTTGAATTACCTATTTCTCAGGTCACAAAGAAATTTACATTAACAATCATTTTACTTATTGATTTGCCAAGCAACTTGAATTATCCTTCGGCTTGGCAATTTCAAAGTGCTTGGGGAACCAACTGAGGAAAAGCAAGCTCAGCTTTGAGGGTACAGGCATGTTAGTTGGCAATGATGGTGAAGTTTTAATTTTTTAACGCTAGGAATCAGCACTTCCTATTACTAGCAGAAATGGCACTGAGTCGCAAAGCAACGTGTTGAAATATTTCTTATAAGAATACTGAAAGCTACAAGGATTAACTAATTGAAGCAGTAGTAAAAGTTGTAACAAAAGTAGTAAGAGTAAATACACTTTAGTTGCTACAGGTTGGACCTCCCAAAACCAGGACCTGCTTATCCAGCAACATCCGTGGTGCGGCAGCCCTGACAGCAGGGCCAGGGCTAGAGACACAACAGCTGTGGCAGCCCCAGTAGTGGGGCCAGAGATTAGGTAGCCCCGATAGCAGGGCTGAGGCCAGGACTGTCCGGGCTGCTGGGACCACAGCAGCACAGTGGGAAGGTGTGGCCTGCAGCGGGGAGGGAAGATGTTGTGGAGAGCTGGTAGCAGGGGACCTCCTCTGGTCTGGCAAATTCCCTCGTTCGGGACTGGTCACATCCCCAGGGTGCCAGACCAGAGGGGTCCAACCTGTAATTTGCGAAATGCCAGCAACCACACGTGGCTCTCATCTATTGTGGGAAAAGAGAAACAATTTATGGATCAAAAAGAGCAACTTATATTGATAAACTATTGAGGGGAGCTGGGAAATAATTGATTCTTAATGATGTTGGTTCTTGACAGAGCAGGATTCAAAACCTAATTCCATTCTATTTAGAAGGCTAGATAGCCTTTAAAAACTGAGCTTGTCTTACTAGTTAAGCCAGTGGTTTTCAAACTACAAGTCACAACCTAGTACTGGGTTGCAGAATATCAGGCGCTGGGTTGTGTTGCTGCAGGGTGGTCAGGTGACCAGTGGGGGGGGGGGGTGCCTAATCGGGCTACCTGCCTATCCAGGCACCGCAGACTGCGCTGCACCCCAGAAGCAGCCAGCAACAGGCCCGGCTTCTAGGTGCGATGTGAGAGAGCGCACAGGGCTTCACACACTGCCCCTGCCCTGAGCACCTGGGAACCTGTTGCTGACTGCATCTTGGGTGCAGCATGGTCTGTGGTGCTAGCCTGAGCACCCCAGTTCCACTCCTGACCGGGAGCCACGAAAGATAAACCCCTCCTCCCGCAGCCCTGACTTCCCTCCTCCTACAGCTAAATCTCTCATCCTCAGCCCCACCTGGGAGCCCATATTCTGCCCAAATTATGTTGGGGTTGCAGGCATCAACAATTTTCTTAACTGGGTCGTGAGAAAAAAGTTTGGAAACCGCTGAGTTAAGTTATGATGGCTTCAAGAATGTCCTGGAACTGTAATTGTTTGAAGAGTTGATCTATCCCATCTGCCAAATCTAACTTTAGAAGTTGCTTTTATAAATAATTGCTTTTGAAATCCATGTAATTCTTTTTCAGATTTCAAAAACAAGCTAACAAATAGAGATCTTCCTGCCAATAATAAAATGATAAAGGCAGCTCCTGCTGGTGGGCAGACTTTGCAGAACATGGGGAGACTTTGCTTTACCATCTTGCACCAGCAGATCTGGAGCCCCCTCTGCTATGGACTTGTGTCTTTTACATTCACGCGGATCATTAAGAAATCCCAGTTTCTGCAGGATTGATTAATCTTTACTGTATAGATCACTTTTAATGTTTTAATGTTTAATGTTAAACTCCTTACAAAGGATATGAAGGTGTCCAGAAAATGAAGTTCTGACCTGCATAACTGCTTTTGAATCCTTTAAATCTTTACTTGTATTGGGTACATATATACACTGCTCAGTAGTTGACTTACTATCTTACTGTTGTCTTATTTCTAGTGTGAGCTAAAGAGTGAAAAATGTTAAATATGATCTACTGAACACAATCACTGTTGTTTTCATTTTTCCTACTATATTGCTTCAACTTTAAGCTGATGCATGCTAACTTTAAAACAGTTTCTTAACATTGAAAAATCATCTGTTGTAAACCCTGTTTGACCATTTAGAGCCAGAATAAAAGTTATGTACTTTCTGTAAAGTTAGAAGATCACACTGAAATGCTATGTCTGTTTTATCCTATCTGCAGAGACCAATATCCAGTCTTTCAGAACACAAAGAACTACTCGGGGAAACTTTCCAAGAAACATCAAAAAAATTGTGTTTGTACTGTTGATTTCAGGGACAGTTCTTCATCAGGTCTCGTTCTCTTTCTTGTACTGTTTCATCTTCCCTCTTTCAGGTCTTGATTAACAAAATGTTTGCACATTTATCTGCTCTTGCTGTCTTTTGCATTTTTTCTGATGTGAACTGTTTTCTAGAATGTAATAGAATATGCTCTAATATTAGCAAAATTGAATATTCTATCACAGTGAACATTTTAGACTTTGATTTAGAAGGTATGAGCTTATTCAATTAAATTTTGTTGGACTAGCTATACTGTTGCTTTACCAACAGAGGGCAGTGAAGCATGAATTTTGCACAGGGTTAGACCTGATAGACAAACTGGACTTGTTTGTGAAAACTGTCATGGATTAAAAAAAATCTTTAAAAAATAGTTCCCAACCAGAAGAATGAAATGTCAAAATGTTTAAAACAAACTGGTCATAGAAGATACACTTGATACTCTTATTTTATACTTAATTTTCTTGCCTATTTCATACCTTGTAGAGTAGAGTTGGAAGAAATAATTTATAGCTTAAAATAAAACTAAATTCATCTTATGATCAATAGCACATAAATAAGCTTGACTGTAGTAATTATGAGAGAGTTTACTATATGAGAGCCCATACATAGTCTTTTCTTGCAAGACTGGATGTTTCTATTGGTCTTGACTAAAAATTTATTTTTTCCTGGAATATATTTTTCAGTAGATACTTAAGACAGTTTCTTTTATATTGTGTAAATCTTCCAATGCAGATCTCTTACTGGAATAGCATGAATCTGTATTGCAGAATTTGTTCAGTTGCTGGGAACATCCTAATGTCTGTAAATACTTCTGGATACACTCTCCTTGTGAGAGCTGTATATCTTTTTCTTACATAAGATACTGAAATATAAACAGGTTTTGTTTCCAGCATAATTACCCCAGGGATGAGTGGTCATGGTTAAAGCAGTTGGGTAGAGGACCAACGTATGTTGTATCCATATCCTTTAGATCAAGCACAGGGTTCAAGCCATTTTTGTTGTTGGAAACTGATTAGTTGCCCACAGTTAAATCTTTCTTTAACAAAGATTATAGGCAATATCCAATTCCTGAGTATCATTTACTTTTATTCAGCCTCTCGGTTGCTTTAGCATTTAAACATGAGTGGAGATCACTGGTCCTCCATTATAGAAGATATATTCAAATTATACACTTCTGCCTAAGAGAAAATAACGAACTTGAACATAATTGAGGACTAAGACTGGGATTTGCAGGGGTTAACTGAGCCTAGAGATTAGAACCTGAGGATAGGTTAAAGGAATTTTTGGACTGCAAGAGAATATAATGAGTCGCTTAAGGTTAGATGGGCCACACTTACTGGGAACAAGGATCATGAGACTGTCCTGGTGTTGGAGGATCATTGGATTTTGAAGAGAAACACAGATTCTGAGACAGGAATCTTCACCCATGCAGTGCATGTGTATGTGTGAGGGAGAGAAAGTAAAGTGTAAGGATTTTTTTATCTCAGAAATGCATGCATATAAAACACTGCTCCTTTGAGAAGGGGAAGTGTGTGTATGTAGACTCCTGGAGCCATGTGCAAGCCGCAGTGTGGTTACCAAGCTTCTGAGTAGGAACAGGAGCCAAGAATTCATCAACCTGCCTACATTTTTCACAAAGCTGAGCAATGAGAAAGGGCTAAAGTGTGATGTGGAAGGAAATTTTAGTTTCATGTTTTTAAAATGGTGTTAAGTTCTTTTAAAGGATTATATAAAATTTGCATCTCTAACTTAAAGGCAGCCTATAATTGTTTCATTGCATGGGTTTTCTAAGATGAAAATTTAGGTAGTATGGTCCAGGGGGAAGTCAATAGGCTTTGGCATCAAGATAATCTGGTTTTGCCACTTATGGCCTTTTTGAGAGCAGGTTTTAAGTTGTCATGTTATGTCCAGTCAGCAAGCTCAGACAAATATCTATAGTTGAACCTCTCTAGTCCAGCACCGTGGGGACCTAACCAATGCTGAACCAGAGAATTTGCAGAACTACAGGAAGTCAATATTGTCTACCAGTATCACCAACATTTCTACAACTTACTAGGCTCTTACAAGACTTTTAGGGATAAATTAGAGCTAAATAACAGCACAGAACACTGAGAGCCAGGACTCGTGGCTGTAAACAAACGTAATGGGACCACAGGAAGCTTGGCCACCCTCATGATAAGTGGACATCCCACTTATCTAATGGACCAGAGAGTACCAGATTAGAGAGGTTCAACCTCTACCATTATTCAGAACAACACAATCAGACTTTTATAATGTGAAAACCTAGGCTTTAACTTGACTAGTGAAGTCTTGACTGGTCAAGAATTTTGTCTTGACTGGAATTGTAAAAGGTGTTAATTATTCAGACTGGGCACCATCACAATTTAAAATCATCTTGACTTTGGCTCTGCTTGTAAGTTCTTGGGGGGCAGTGATGGTTTTTGGTTTTGCTTTCTTAGTACAGTTCCTAGTACATTGGGATGCTAGTCTGAGTGAGGTCAGGTCTACACTAGAAAGTTAGCCAATTTCCATTAATGTAATTTATTCTATGCTATCTCCTAGAACTGGAAGGGAAAAGTCATTGAGTCTAGTCCCCTGCCTTCACAGCAGGACCAAGTACCATCCCTGACAAATTTTTGCCCCAAATGGCCTCCGCAAGGATTGAACTCACAACCCTGGGTTTAGCAGGCCAATGCTCAAACCACTGGGCTATCCTTCTGCCTGCATAAATGTGTGTTAGGGCTATAAAAGCCATGCTGGCAGCTAATACCAGCACCAGAGTCCTTTTGTCAGTATTGCAAATGGTCTGACCAACCTAGCAAAAGGGATTCTTTTGCATGTATAAACTGCATTTATACTGGTAGAGCAATTAGGTTCCAGTTCATTATTTTCCTCTTACAGCTCTTTCTGAGTAGACAGAGGGGTATATAGTTAATACATCTTGTATATGGAGAAGTGATTTTTATCATTGTTTAAATGCTAAAGCAACTGGGTGGCTGAATCAAAGCAAATGGTAGTCAGCAATGGATATTCTATAGACTAGGCCTGAGGCTCCTTGGCGCAGTATAAATAACTATGCCTTTTCGCCAACCCATTTCCCCGATTTTGCTTCACCTTTCCTGTCTGTATAATGGGGATAATGCTTTCCTGCCTGATACGGGGTGGGGTGGGGGGGTAAAGGTTTTGGGCTTAGGCCACTGACCCACAGGTAAATCAGTTGAAGGCCACACAAGTGAAAAGCAAAAAAAAAAAAAACCCCACCTCCACATTCCCCTCGCTCAGGGCTGGGCTAGTAGATTTTTGTCTTCTCCACACACACACACACACACACACACACACACACACACACACACACACACACACACACACACACACACACACACACACACACACACAC